ACAGGGGGAAGGGGGAAGAGCAAAGAACGTGGAAGGAGGGATTATTGTTGTTGTTACTGTTGTTGTTGTGGTCGTCGTCGTCGTCGTCGCCGCCGCCGCCGTCGTCGTCGTCGTCGGCGGCGTTGTGGTTGTTGTTGGTGTTGTGGTTCTTGCTGTTGCGGTGGCTCTGGTCGTGGTTGTGGTCGTGGGGCCAGGTCGAACCCATCTTTGGGGTATGTGGGGCGGTATTGGGGCGACGTTGAGCCCATGCTGGGCCTAGGTGCCCATGTTGAGTCGTTCTTGTGGTTGTTGTAGTTGCAGTAGTAGTAGTAGTACTAGTAGTAGTAGTAGCAGTAGTCGTCGTAGTAGTAGTAGTAGTAGTAGTGGTAGTAGTAGTGGTAGTAGTAGTAGTGGAAGAAGTAGTAGTAGTAGTCGTGGTAGTAGTAGAAGTAGTGGTAGTAGTAGTAGTAGTACAAGTAGTGGTAGTAGAAGTAGTAGTAGTAGTAGTGGTGGTAGTAGTAGAAGTAGTAGTAGTAGTGGTAGTAGTAGTAGTAGTGGTACTGGTAGTTGTAGTGGTAGTAGTAGTAGTTGTAGTAGTAGTAGTAGTTGTTGTTGTTGTTGCTGTTCCCCACATTGACGTGTGAGTTTTTTAGTGTAATATCCGCTCGTGCCTCCCTCCGCCTCCAACCGCCTCCCGCTTGTCACCAACCACTTGTCATCAACCGATTGTCATCAACCAACAATTGTCACCAACCAAGTGCTGCCCACCAATTGCCACCAACAAATTGTCACCAGCCAATTGTCAACAACCAATTGTTAACAACAGATAGTCGCCAACCAATTGTCAACAACCAATTGTTAACAACAAATTACCACCAACTAATTGTCGCCAACCAATTGTCATCAATTGTCATCAACCAGTTGCCATCCACCAATTGTCATCAACAAATGATTTGCTTGCCAATTGTCTTCTCCAGGGGGACGGATGTACGCCCTGGCGCTGGCTGGTGCTGGCTGGGGCTGCTGGGTCGCCGCTGCGCCGCTGTGATTTGCGTGCGTGGTGTTCAAAAACACTGTGTTTTATAGGGTTTTGTGGGCATGGAAGAGCCCAAATTTGGACAGTGGCGAAATGCAAAAACTGTGGGCTTTACAAGCGTGGTGTCGGAAACGCGCGCCGCGCGGATGTGCATAATCGGATATTTTTTTTGGCGACGGGCCCGCGTCAACACAAATGGCGCAAAATGTACCCCAAGATGACCCAACAGAGGCCCCCAAGATGGTTACATAGCCCCAACATGGGCCAACATAGGTTCAAGATGGCCCAACATAGGCCCAAGAGCGGCCCAACATAGACCCCAGATAGGGCCAAGATGGGCCAACGTGGCCCAAGATGGGCCAACAACAACAACAACACGCCAATTATCGGATAACCCCACTGGCTGGCGCTGGCCGGCGCTGGTGGGTCTCTGCCCTTCTGAAAGAGGGTTATTTTTGAGGGCATGTTTTTAAAAAACATTGTCCTCAACCAATCCTCTCTCCTACAGACAGGAGAGAACCCTTCGGGAGAACACGGCCAGGTGGGCCCAGCGCTGGCCGTGTTCCCCCAAAGGGTTCTCTCCTCTCCGTAGGATTACCGCGGACATCGTACGACCTTCGACCCTTCATCGCCAACCCAGAAACAAAAACCGCCCACACAATCTTTGCCGGGTTTGGGCAGCTAGGCCCGCTCTTTTGGAGACAACGCTAGTGCGATTCATTCGCACGGTGACCTGACCAAACAATATTGTTTTTTGTCTCTGTTAGGTGAATGCATTTGTTCACACCCTATACAGACATTGAAGCCAACTACAGTCCAAGCACCTGAGTTTCAGTGTATCATATATTTTCAAAAGCTATCCAAATCTATTCCTGCAAGCATACCAGACCCTGTCCCTCGCCTCTCCTTAAGTTTACTTGTCCACATCAAGCGCCGATGTCCACTGCACACTGCCCGGCGTCCAGCGCGGCATCCTAGGGCGATATATGGGCAACCACATACGGCATGTGCATTGTTCAACTTCCCTCCGCTGTGGATTACTTCGCGCGCCAGCTCATCCCCAATCCCCCATTAAGTGGCGGTGCCCCTGCTCAGGTCTACTCTCCTCGATCCAGCGTCTTCACGCTTATATGGTGAGGGCGACCATCGAGACGATCAAGACGTGACCAACAGCAAACAAAATCTGCTACTGCGCGCGACGCAACTACCTAGTCTTCAAATCGTTCGCCGAGGAAGTCGGGGTTGCAGATCACCAGCAACAAGACTTCTGCCGGCAATCCACTTGTCTGTTTTCTGTTCCATTTGATCACTCCTTCTCATACGTAGCAAGCACGCCCGCAATAAGCGCAAGTGCTTCCGCACCATACACTTTTCGCTACTGCACATAGCCCTGCTGCGCAGTCCTGCCCAGCCTCAATCTCAGGCAAGGTGCTCACAGAGCTTGTGCTTCTGCACCGGCTGCCTCCGATGTGTTTGTTCAGACCTGGTGACTGGGTTAACGCACTAGTATCAAAGGGCTTGCCTCGGATTTTCTGTAGCAGAATTGCTCGGGGATGCTCAAGCCCTTGCAAACTTGTTGAGTACGATGGGACATGGAGACCCTTTCTTCACAATTAGTGGACCTCCCATACCAAAACATTCTCTAGTTGCGTCAGCAAAACACAGATTTGGGTATGTGTCCGGCCCATGATGCTGTTTCTTGACCTCAGTGATCAACTCTTTGGGGTGTCCAAAAATGCCTCGGAGAGCCTTGAAGCTACACGCTTCGATTTCGCCTTAAATTCAGAACATGAACCATGAGAAGTCTGAGCTACTTCTGTTTGCAATGAAGGGTCACAAAGACCCAACTGCCTGTTCCAAGCGCAATTTGAAGAGCCCTCACAAGCGTTGAGCAAGCCAACGTCATCGCCCGACCATCCTAAAAAAGGCAGAGCCGAGCAGAAACGTACACAATAAGCATGGAAGTGGGCGACCTGTTTGAGACCTTCCGGCCATGATTTTTTAATGCACGAATGGGCTCAGTTTTGACTTTCAGTCCATGGAATCTACAGGTGTTTGCAAGTGGACTTGCGACCTTTGTAGCCTACACTTGACAGATGAAAGGGCACCCATAAACGATCCAACCGGTATATTCCTTGTCAAATGATTCTGGGGGAACCCTCCAACCCACAAGAATTTTGCCCTGTCCACCTCCCCCCATCTCCTGAGTTGCCATAAGCCCTGCGTGGCCAGCGCTGCCACCAGCTCCATGGATCCACCCAACAACATTGCCAGAGACGCCCCCCGACAAAGAAATATATCGATCGTGCTAGGAAGCATCAAAGCGGTCATTGTCATTGGTAGTGGTGCATCTCCTTCCTTTTGATATCCTTCTGATTCTTTTTGCTTTCCTTTTACTTCCTTGTGATTTCCTTTTGTTCTTTTTGCTTTCCTTTGATTCCTTTTAATGTTCATTTCATCCCTCTTGATCTCCCCTTTCTACCCTGCGTTTCCTTTTCATACCCCTTCAATTCCTCTTGATTCCTGTTCCTATTGGAGCAAGTAAGACAAAGACAACGCTTATGTAGCGCATCCTGCTTCTTCAGCAGTGTCTTTGTCTTACTTGCTCCTATTTCTCCTTTTTTAAACCCTGGGGTCGGCGGCAAGGGGCGTCAGCCCCTTATTTGAGGGCTTACGCCTGACAGCCGGCCAGGGGCCCGAGGAAGGGGTGGTCGTCGTTGTGGTTGTGGTTGTGGTTGTGGTTGTGGTTGTGGTTGTTGTTGTTGTTGTGGTGGTGGTGGTGGTTGTGGTTGTGGTTGTGGTTGTGGTTGCGGTTGCGGTTGTTGTTGTTGTTGTTGTCGTTGTCGTTGTTGTTGCTGTTGTTGTTGTCGTTGTTCAATGGGTACGCCAACGCGTGAGAGAGACAGTCCCTCGAGCTAAAGAAGACACATTTCAAAGTTTTTCGATCGCAGGTGGAGGCCACGTCAGTTGCGGATTGGCCCTATAGGAGTCTCGGAGTCAGGCGTTGATCCCTCCAGCAGAGGGCCAAGAAATTCTCAGTCGAACACTTGGTCCTCTTATCATCGCCTAACCAAGGTATCTGCCTTGTTCTGGATACAAATCGTTCATGATCGACATACTTGAAGCGCCAGGCCGGTCGATAACCACTGGTCCCCCACCACTGGCCATCTGTGCTCGGTGGCATTCTGCTCAGGCAGGCTATCAGATGGCCAGATTGCCCGTGCCGCCTTGCCCCAGAGAACAGGAGGTATTTGGACTGGACCCTACTTCCCCAATGACCCATCGCAACGAGCTATCAACGAGCTATCATGACCACTGGCAAGCGCGGCCTCCACTATGGGGATGACGCTGCGCCGTCCCCCCGGCATGCCAAAACCGGGAAGGTATCAAATTTTGGCACTGCACAAAATTGACAATGTCACGGATGCCGCGCGCCTCCCCCCCACCCCATGCCAGCTTGCGCCTTGCCCCATCCTCTCCCCATTTGACGCTTTGGGTTTCTACCAGCTGGAAAAGTTTTCTCTAGATTCCTCTTCTAGATCCCTTCTCGACCCTGTCCTTGCTCCTGCCTGTAGCCATACGCTCCCTGTCTCGAGGCCCCGTAACGATATGACCCGCCACGGCCTTACTCAATCGAGTTCCACACAATAAATGACAAAAAATAGTCCCCGAAACTCGTCGGTCTGTTCCAAACGTGGCTTTCTATCACCAACACCGGTTTCTTGATGCAGTGTCCTCTGGCGCGCTCCCCCACCATCGGCTGGGGTTGGCGGATATGCAACCTTAATAATTCTCAATACTGCTAAGCCAGTGGCTGGTTTGCTGAGAGTACTGATAAGTATAGGCAGTATAGGCTTCTCTACTTAGCGCGTCTTCAAAGCCGCAGAGTGAGAATTTTCCGTGTACTTTTCTTAATAATATAGAAGGATTGCTCAGAATGGAACCTGAGACGGGCTGAGACAGGACAATGAATGACTATGATCTATGAATTGAAAAAGGAAATGCAGATTTGTTTTGGTGGTAGCTCATTATAGAGGACCTCCCTTGTGTTTTGAGGGAGGACCCCCTTTTACTATTCAGGATCCAACATTACAATCGATGGCCTCCGGATGTGGTAGGTGCCACGTGAACGTGGACTAAGCCAAGAAATCTAGCAGAAATGGCCCCTGCAATGATTCAGATGATAGGCCTAAACAGCTTTTCGGACAAAACAGGTAGTATCATGCTGTTTGCATCAGCAAGTTGGACCTTCACCACCTTCTCCTCCTGCTCCAGAACAATTCAACAAAGTGGCATACGTCTAGTTGTTGCGAAACAACACGACGTTTGGCCGTTCTACTGCCAAGGATACAATGACCTCCCCCAATCCAAGGCATGTTTTGGTCGCGCAAGACAAACATTACACAGCTGCTGCCTTGGTAACTTTCCGAGCTTGATTTCGCGTCGATCCCGTACTTTGCTGAGATCATCCTTTCCTATTGGGGAAGTGGCCAAGAGTGTGGTGCTGAAAGCATCAAAGAGGAAAAGTATGTATGCAATTTTGGATTGAGTAGACACGTCATGAACGAGTAGACTTTGAGCAGACTTAACCCATGCGTTTGATTCAGCTTTGCTTGTTTCGAATGTTGGAGAGGCAGTAGCTTTCTCGAGGCGATCAGTTGCGATAGAAGGAGGTACTGGGATGAGTTGGACGTTCCTCACCAAGAGCCAAATGTGCAAGTACAGGAAAAACCAAGGACTTTTCTCGACCTGGCCGAGGCTTGTCCTTGAGGGTGAGCTTGAAGAACAAGCTGTGAACATAGGCAGCAAGAAGCAGTGGAATGCAAGTGCATATATCGTTTTGTGAATGATGTTGTAAATTGCGTTTGTCTCGAGCAATTGCAGGGAATGATGGACCCTCGATACTGCGATCCAGTGTGCTGAAAGAGGACTGCAATGGGACACTGATAGCAAAACAAGTGAACGCGATGGACGCTAATAGAAAAGACTTGCGACACATTGTGACACTGTATTGGTGTTTTGAAGTGAGTGAGGTGAGGTAAGTCAGGGGTCAAAGCTTTGCTACATGATTTCTCGAAAAGCATTGCTAGGGGCTCCTGGCATCGCTACTAGGAGCAAGGACGCTACTTTTACTAGGGGCTCCTGGCCTTACTACTAGGAACACGAAGCTACTAGGGGCTCCTGGCATCACTGTTGCTTGACTCCTCGACAACATTTTCCCAAACAAGTTCCTTGACTTCTCATAGTTCGCCCTTTGAGGGTCGCACCGTATGCGTGTCCAGTCTCCCAAAGAGACGTGCCTACCGTAGTTCCCAGTGCTTGGAGACTATCAATTGCCTGGATCGCATGCTTTCTGCATGCTTTCCGCTCTGCCTGGCTTTGCCACCAATTTCCGATAATCTGTTCCTAAGGTGTTCTATTTTTGTGTGGGCTGCTTGTGTGACCTTCATTACCATTGTCTCCAAACAAGAACGGAACGGTGTAGAGCTGGTGCTTTGTGTTCAAAGGGCATTTTTGCGATGGCACATAGTTTTGGTTCGCTTGTCGCAGTCTCCCTGCTTCCGACATTTCTGAGCCGTTCCCCACTTGGCTCTCGCTGCGGACATACGCTTATGGTTTTAGATGTCGTAGGTCCCCGTCTTGCAAGGAAAGCTGCTCCTTCCTCAGCAGCCTTGAAACTTCGGGGGCTTTGGGCGCAGATATGGTGGAACGCAGTCATTCCTCTGAGACGTTCTGACCTTGGGGTAGGTAGCCTTGCCCGGCAGATTTCAAATGCCTTGATGTGTTTTTACTTGTCACAAGTTTCTGAAATCTATGTTTTTATCCTTCGAGAAAAAAAGTTAGCGAACATGATGTGCTAAGGCCATGCGTTTCACTACATGTGTACCATCCACCACTGCCACAGGCATCGAGAGAAGAATTGGAGCATCGGGTCTATTCACTTGAGACATTTGAGGGATGGACAAATTTGAGGAACCTTCAGGGTTACATATCTATACTGTATGTGTCGAAACCACCCTGGTTTCGAGATTGGTAGAGAGACCTCCGGCGGTGGACTATCGCAAACCACAAGCAAAAAGTTTGGCAAAAGGGGGATTGAATTCAGCCTTGAAGTCCCTGCTCCAATGGAAGGTGTCCCACACCTATGTACCTTGGTTTGAGCTCCTGCTCACCCGCAGCCGTATCCTCGGACCAGCTCCTTTCTCCTCGAGCGCCTCGCTCGAAAGTGCCAACTGGTCAATGGCTCGATCGCGCACGAACGCCCACCCTCCCAAAGCTTGAGATGGAAGGGTAGCGACAGGCTTTCACTGAAACATGCGACGCGCACGACTTCCTGGACTTGACATTCCCAAAAGTCTAAAAGATTGTCGAGCATGTTTTATCATGGTCAGTGGTGACCTGGCAGAAGCTTCTTACAAAAACGACCCCCTTTACTCTTCAGAGTAAAATGCCCTGAATTGACAAAGGATCAAAGGCTGAAATCCGACCCAAAGATTCGTGTCGTTCTTCGGAGTCGAGCGATCGCTGTGGCACATTCTGAATTCGGGGAGGGCGTATCCACTGCATCAACTGGGGACGTCTTGGATTTTTCCCTCAGTCGGAAGTGGATCCCTGAGACTGTTCGTGGCTGCAGAACCAACGGAGTCGGGCCTTTCGGCCTGAACGACTTCGAAGGATTTCATCTTCGTCCTTAAGCTGGTATCTTCCTATGTGCATTAGTTCACGGAGCGTGGAGGCGTCCATGATCTTTGTTAGACAATCAGCAACTTGTGCACTCGACGGAACCCAGCGAACAGCAATTCCAGTTGCGAGATGTTCTTTGATGAGACGGGCTTGCAATAACGCACGGAATTCTTGACATGATGGTGGCGCCGTTCGACTGATTAAATCGAAAAGACTTTTGCAATCCGTAGCAAAACGTGAGCTGCCGGAGTGCCATGTGTCCAGGTCCAGAAGGCGGCTTCCATGCTGGGCAACAAATCGAATAGACTCAGGGAACCATCGTTGTGAGCTTGCAAGCCTGAAATCTGTAATACAACGACTCACAGTCAGAATAAATCAAAAGAAAGCGGTGATGAAACTCCGACTTGGTGAAAAGCAACTTGATGTTAGAAAAGACCCGGGACCTGGGAGAAATGTAAGCAGTGGCCCCGGTTTTAGCAAACCATGGCGGCTGACTCACTGTAAAACGAAAAAGAGGTTAAAAAAACGATAACACTCATGTAATACACGCAGTACAATACATGAGAAAAGACGCATTGGAAATTCAAATACCTTCAGTTCTTGAAGCAAATAGCTTTCAAATCCAGTTATTGATGTCAGGTGCAATTCTTTTTAAGAAGAGTGTTTCAAGTTTCCGTGTAATACAAGCATTCAGAATTGATTTCTTCTTTGGCTCCTTGAGCATCGCTGGGACATGGGTAGACACTTGCTGTTCCATATGGGTAAGTAGTTGCGTGTACACGCATGGATTCTAATTCAGTGGATGCTAGGCCAGGCCGACAAGTCAAAGTGTTTGAGTCCGTTGGGCCACCAAAATGGGTGAAGCGTTGGGGTGCCAAAACGATAACAAAACGATAACAAGAATACACGACGAAGTCCTCGGGAAGACCATGTCCCACATGTACAAATGCAAAATTTTAAGAAATGCCCTCAAAACTCTTCAAACATCAAGGGAAGACAAGAACTGAAGGAATTTGACCAGCAAACTATCTAAAACGTTGAAATTGACTATAGCTACTTTTTGTACACTGTTTCCCCTTAACGGGGAGAGACCGCGGTGACAATGGGAGGAATCCCGCAACCCATCTAGTTCCTTCCGGCCGCGGTGGCCCGGTGAACCTTTTCAGATCTCTCAGTGTAAGGTTCACCGTGGCCAGAGGCATTCTATTTTGCGCGTGACATACATACTCGACTGATGCACAAAGATGCACAGCTACACACAAGAAATCAAAACCAGTGAATGACAGCGCAGGCGCCAGACTATTAATGTGGAAGAGCGCCTTGTGTTTCTCACTAGGAGCAGGCTAGGACTTGCGCATCCCAATCAGAAAAGGTTGGTAGGGTGAAAGTCTGTGAGGGCTGGTTGGTGGGCATGTGAATTGGAGAACTAGAGACGACTCCAATTCCTAAAAACCTAAAAAAGCAGGTGTAAATTACGTCGAACACCAGAGCATGTGGCGTGCTTGTGGTCAGTGCTCCTGCAACTCAATAACAAGGAAAGAGCTTGACAGCAGTGGACCACTGCAATCATTGGAAAGCAAAATCCACCCAAAGCGATGTGCCACATACTCTCACATACTGCTCACATAATAGTACGCGCGCGCACGCACACACAACAGACCCCGACTTTTTTGCAGTGGAGGCAGGGACATGTGTGGTTGGCTGGGAAACGATAAGGGACTGTACACTGATCTCCAAACATTGAAAAACGAGAAAGAGTTCAGAACAATAAGGCTTTAAGTTGTTATACGAAATATAGAAGCTTTTTGAATATACCACTTGGTGAAAACAAATTGGCGACTTAAGTTCAATCATCAAGTCTGAGCTTGAATGCTGTCAACGGATCCAGAATGGTGAATCGTTCGGGCTTCTGGCTTCTGTGGCTTTTGGCTTTCGTGGCTTTCTACTGTAGGGAGGGCCATCTAATTTAGGAACGTTGTTGTTCCCGAATGCGTAGCGAAGGGTTCTCGTTTAACTCTGGGGGTCTGGGGGTAGAGCCTTGTTCGCAACCCGTTGTTTCTATGTTCGCAACCGTCCGCAGGTGTTCGCGGTAGAGCGCTAATGCTAAGGCGCTGCCATTGGGGGAAGCTTTTGCAAGTGACTTTTCATAGATGTGGCGCGTGTCAGTTTGCACCGCTATTACATTGTGATTTGCATGAATATGAGATGTCGCGCAAGAAACGTGATGCATTTGGCGCAGTGGTTTGTGAGATCTGCAGTTTGCTGCGCAGTTCCATTGGGATTGGCGTTTGGAGAGTCGTGTTTTTGGGGTGCTGGATGTGGCCGTGCCATTGGGATTTGCGATTCAGGGTGTGGCGTCGAAGCTCTGTTTTCGTGACCAGTCTCAGTTGAAATGGCGATTTTGGTGGATGGGAGTGCGCTCAGAACGGGTCGAAATCATTCCAAACGTGTGGTGCGGTGCAAATTTTGTTGAAGCTGACATGAGATGATATTGTCACTTTTCGTGGCAGGCGCAGTACTTTGTGTGGGTTTTGAGGCGTGGAAGTGCGATTCTCGTGGCAGGCGCAGGGAATGGTGAGGCTGCGAGGTGTGACGGAGGTGACATTTCGTGGCAGGCGCAGTACTTTGTGCGCGTTAGACGTGTGGATGCGGAAAGATTCGTGGCAGGCGCAGGGAGTTGTGAGGTCGTGAGTTGTGGTAGAGGTGAATGTCGCTGTCACAGTGGGATTGGCGTGTGAACGGGTGTTGTTTGGAGGGGCTGGACTCGCGAAACTGCTTGGCAGGGCTGCGTGATGTGTGTGCTCCGATGGGTGTTTCCGCTTGGCTTTTGGAGGAAGTCTCGTACGAAATGCTCGCCTTGCAGACTTTGACATGTGAGTTTTGGAGGAAGTCTCGTACGAAACGCTCGTTTTGGAGACTTGACACGTGACATTTGGAGGAAGTCTCGTACGAAACGAGACTTGACGTGTGACCTTTGGAGGGAGTCTCGTACGAAACGCTCGTTTTGGAGACTTGACATGTGACTTTTGGGGGAAGTCTCGTACGAAACGCTCGCTTTGGAGACTTGACGCGTGACTTTTGGAGGAAGTCTACAAGAGTGTCCCACAAGAGTGTCCTACAAGAGTGTCCCACAAGAGTGTCCTACAAGAGTATCCCACAAGAGTTTCGCACAAGAGTGTCCCACAAGAGTGTCCCTTAAGAGTGTCCCGCAAGAGTGTCCCATAAGAGTGTCCCACAAGAGTGTCCTACAAGAGTGTCCCACAAGAGTTTCCTACAAGAGTGTCCCACAAGAGTGTCCCGAATGAGTGTCCCACAAGAGTTTCCTACAAGAGTGGCCCACAAGAGTGTCCCACAAGAGTGTCTCACAAGAGTGTCCTATAAGAGTGTCCCACAAGAGTGTCCTACAAGAGTGTCCTACAAGAGTGTCTCACAGAGTGTCCGACAAGAGTTTCCCATAAGAGTGACCACAAGAGTGTCCTACAAGAGTGTGCGACAAGAGTGTCCCGTATGAGTGTCCCGCAAGAGTGTCATAGTAGAGGGCCCCACAAGAGTGTCCCACAAGAGTGTCCCAGAAGACTGTCCCACAGGAGTGTCCCACAAGAGTGTCCCGTAAGAGTGTCCCGCAAGAGTTTCCTACAAGAGTGACCCACAAGAGGGTCCCACAAGAGTGTCCTACAAGAGCGTCATTTGTAGCTTTTCGAAAGTGTCTGCATTCGGGTTCGTGGGCTCCATCTTGTTCTTTTTTAGTTTTTTTGTTTCTTGTGGCTTTCGCTTTTGTGGCTTCCGTGGCTTTTGTGGCTTCCGTGGCTAGCGTGGCTTCCGTGGCTTTTGTGGCTTTTGGCTTTGGTGGCTTTCGTGGCTTCTGTGGCTTTTGTGGCGCTTGGCTTTCGTTGCTTTCGTGGCTTCTAGCTGTTTGCTACTAGTCCATCTTTGGAGGAATGTGAAGTCCGAGGCACAGCTACGAGATGTAAGACGGTCTTGCTTCCATCCAGACGATTCCTTTGGTGGCTTTTCGCTTTTGGTTGCTTTTTTACTGCGCCTACCACGAAATCTACACTTCGGGGTCCACAAAGTACTGTGCCTGCCACGAAATTTGCACTTCAAGGCCCACAAAGTACTGCGCCTGCTACGAGATCTGCACTTCAAGGTCCACAAAGTACTGAGCCTGCCACAAAATTTCAACTTCAAAGGCCGCACAGTACTGCGCCTGCCACGAAATCTGCACTTCAAGGTCCAAAGTATTGCACTAAACGACAAACAAAACACAAAAAAGAAACGAACAAAATCCAATCCGCAGCCGTTGTCGGCAGCCACCTCTCAGCAATCTTGAGCAGTCAGCTAATCAGGGAGAAGTCACGAAAGACAAGTGATCACAGACACTCCCCCCTTAAGGGTCTATGTTCAACGCGCCCCGTGGGGACCACAGGCTAGACCTCAGTGGGACCCGGTTGCGGAACACACTTGGATCCATGCTTGCAAGAGCTAAATCAGTTTGGAAAGTCCCGAGAGCTAGTTACTGATTACATTTGACCTTGACTCACAGCTTGCTCAACAGTTGAAAACGGGCAAAGCTTAAAGTTGCTTGGGATAATGTTAGAGTTAGAGGGTTGTAAGACCATGTGACGGTGTTAAAATAGAAGGTTCCAGGGTCGAAAAAGCATGTGCAAGGACTAAAAAAGAATGGTTTAGGGCTTGAAAAAGTATGTTGCAGGGTTGAAAAAGGTTAGGGTCGAAAAACATGTGTTTTAGGGTTAAAAAATAAGTTGCCCATATATAGAAGTAAACATGGTTTGGGAGGGAAGTTTGACCCTGGTGTCACATGTCGCTAAGCAGGCTTGGATGAGAGGCTAGAGTTTCTGAACGCCGCGTTTCTTTTGCCTTAGTTTCGCTGTGACACAGATTGTTTGTTTGCCCAGTCAGTTGATTGTGCTTGCCTGGCTTGCCCTTTGTTCCACGATGGCAATAGGGCAGATGCAGCCGCATCTACGTTCAGAAAGGTTTTCATTGACAAATGTGTGCCGAATGTTCAGCTAGAATGTGCCCAGTGCAGTTCGAACGGTGCGTATGCAAAGCTGCCCGCAAGTTTCACTTCGCGGGCAGAATGCTTGTGCTGAAGTGCTTTTGAAGTTGAAGAGAAGTGCTAGAGGATTTGAAGCAGGGCCTTGATTTTGTTTTGAGATTGAGCTAGCAGCTAGCAACTCTAGCATCAAGCACTCCTCAGATACGAAGCTTCAAGTAGCCTGACAAAGGTCGACTGCTCTCAGGCAACTGGTTTCAAAAGTTTGCGTCTTTGATTTGGGGCCTATGGATTCAACAAGCTGTGGTCGATGCGGCGAAGAAAGCGCGAACAACATTCTTCTCGCCACACCCGTGTTACAACGTTCATTCCATATTTTTGAAGATTGGGAATTAGCCAAGATCTGATGATTGGTCGAAGAAAAGTTCCCTTCATCCGGACAAAGTTCGGGACTTGGAAAGTACTTCATAAATGGCTTTACAATTGGGCGGCCCTAAAACTGCTAGTAAAGTGGACAAGGTCTATACTAACATTCCCTGGATCTTGAACTTGAAAACTAAAGAACTCTCAAGCAGATTCTCACAGCATCGCTAGCCTGATTAGGTTTGTACCTACAAGCTTGCAAGCTGCACTTTCACACACACACAATTCAACCCTCTAGTTTCGACTCCAGTTTGACTTTTCTGTTTGTGCTGTCATTCGCTGTGGCAATGGCTTCCATCCTCCCCAGTCTTGGATATGCGGAGGCTTGAACATGCTGCTGTGTGTTCTTTCAGAGCAGATTTGCTGGGGGAGCTCTTACATTGCGAACAGTCTTTGAATCTCTGTTTCCAGTCGAGATAAACAAGACACCACAAGACTCCTGAGAAGTGCAGGTTGCCATACAACAAGGCTGGATAGCCACAGCATCAGCAGTTTGACCTTCGCTTCTCATGACTTTGATTGAGGTTTTGCGCCAAGCTCCTTTCCATTCGGTAGGCCCACCAGATGTAGTATCTTGATGTAAGATGTCTTGGCATGCTAGAGCATGCCTAAAACCAATTAAAAAAGTCTCTTTCATTCTCAGGGGTGCTTTCTGCCGGGGTCACGAGAGAAGAGATCTTCGTGAAACACAGAGATCGACACTGTGCACACTCTGCACTTTTGCTGGGAAGCTCAAAGCGGGACACAAGACGCTCAACACAAGCCTTCCTTTCAAAAGAAAGATCTCAAAGGTGCTTCAATAGGTTTAAAGGTTCAGACAAATCCAAAGGTCTAAAGTCCACAGGCTAACAAACTAGAAAGACATTTGAAGAAGTTGTTCTTTCTTAAAGCCTAAGTACATCAGGGAAGGTGTTTAAGACGTGAAGAGGTTTTAGTCTTTGCGCAAGGTGGCAGCCTGCCGCTGGCGAGCTCAGGCTCGGCACTCTTTAGGAACCTAAAAACGTGTTTAAGGAGTCGTTAGCGACCCCTTAGTTTTCTACCCTGTTTTACCTTGGTGCGAACCCCTTAGTAAGAAACACACCAGTCCTCCTTTGAAAAGATTTGCATTGGTTTTGAGGCTCGGAAAGCTGGCAGCGCCAGTGGCTCTTCACCGCTCAACCTGGGGAAAAGTCGTCCAAAGGTCCCGCTGGGCAGTAAAGCAGTCGCCTAGCAGAAAGAGTCAACGAACGCACTCCGCTTCTCTTTCGTTCTTCCGACTGTGTAAGAATACGTGAAAACGTGTTTGAAGCGCAACAGTCCAGGAGAAGATTGACTCTGGCAGCTGGGTGCTGCCGAGCGTGGACAAAGACAGACTCAGAAACATATGCAGAACGGAGCATAGACAAACTAAGACAGACTCTTTCCTCTGTGCTTAAATCAAATCAAGAGCGCATCGCATTTGTCCAAGATATCGAACTGGTGCAGGATGTGGATGAGTACTTCGCTGGACGAGCGCCTACCTATGCCTGGGCCACGAACTTGGAAACGGCTTCACATTTCTTATTTTCAACATCATCAGAGGCAACTTGAACAACTCAACGCTTCTGCAGTGTGTGTTTTTAGCATTCTTTAAATGACGATTTTTGTTCGTGCATAAATGGTAATGTCTTGGTGGCAGACTTTTGAGGTGCAGACCAGTGAAACCCTGTACGTCTTTGCTCCACTGGAGGCAAAACGACAGCAAGGAGGCTTTATGGGGCTCGATAGGGTCATGAAATGTCATGAAGATACGGTCCATACAGTGGATGCAACACAGAAACACTTGTGTCGTTGCAGAGCGCACGCTTTTTTCTTGTTTGTACGTTCAGGAGTACCTTCAACCTTGATGTTTGTGGCAGTTGTTAACCAAAAGGGGTCACTTCGAGGGTCACTCCAGCCGAGGCTGCCCACGGAGAGGAACTTGATGCTCCGAATGTCAGCCTCGGATTGAACATGTCACAGTGATGAAACGTAGTGAATTGCAAGACGACATTGTTTTTGTCAAACATCATGACGAGGACTAGTGTTTTTTCTTTTCGTCCAGGTGACATTAGACCTCCAGCAGGAAGGCACCATCATCAGGCCACTTGACCTTCCAAGTGGGCGGCGCTCGCAGAGAGGGCTCAGCATGGCTTGGCCAGGCTTATCGTGGGAGGGCAAACAATTCTCAATGGACGTTTGGCGCATCAGATCAAACCTGGCGAGCAGATTTGGATGGTTGAGGAGCATAAACACGCACAGACCATTCCAAGGTTTCAGTACGTGTCGAAAAAGCATGTCTAGTCTAGGAAGCCTCAGACGGCAAAGACTTTGTTGTGTGCGAGCTCGACAAGCTGCCACACTCCAAGCCGGCTTGTTTTGTGAAGCTGTTAGCTAAGCAGCGTTGTTTGTTTGCTCACGTTTGTTGACATGTCCAAGCAAACTCTGAACTGGATGTTCACAAGGACACCTGGCGTCAACTGGGCATCAGTGATGGAACCTGAGGCATAGTCGGAGTCGAATTTGACTACTGGCTACGGTCTCTCCCAACTTCTTTCTACTGACTCGCTGCCTGCTTCCCTACCTTAACAGGTAAGCTTGGGAGGTCTTTTTTGTTTCCACTGGGGTTTTGACAGCTAGAATCAGCCGTGTTTTCCCCCAAACAGCGAGGGCTATTGGGGTTCTTGCTTCAAGAAAAGGAGTTGCCTGTGTGCGCTATAGAGCCCGGGTGCTGGTGCTGCTGCAGGGTGGCCAGTGTACGCTTTGGAGGGTGCCGCTCCCAGATGTGTGGCCGTGTGCGCTTTGAAGCCTGGGTGCTGCTGCTGCTGCTGCTGCAGGGTGCTGCAGAGTGCCGCGACAAGGTGCTTCAGCGAGAAGTTTATGGCCGTGTGCGTTTTGGACCGTTGCTATAGCTGCTGCCGCCAGTGCTGGCCAACAAATTCTTTTGCTATTTGGGGTCTATGCTGGCGTCATTGTAGTGCACACAAGGCCTAATCAAACCCCATGGGGCCGTGCAAGATCATGCTTTGCCCACCCTTTCCTTCTGTTTTTGAAAGGGCCCTTCGCCGCCCTTCGCACTGCAAACTGTCAACCTGACCAGCCAGTAGAAGAAGGCTACCATGGAAGATTGAAAGGAATAGGCAAAGTAAAGGCAAGGCCATCGAGGGAAGTCGAAAAAGAGAAAGGAAAGAGGGCATCCAAACTTACAGGGGCGCTAAGGATTTCGGATTTGCAGGGGCGCTGTGTCGAAAAAGGCAAACCGTTAGAATCATCACTCATAGAAGCTCTCTTTGATTTCTTGGGGTCCAGAATGTACCCTTCTTCCTTTAGCTGGTAACCTTTCATAGCTTCAGAGCCTAGCGCACCTATCTTGGTGGCTTGGCCTTTCTCCTTCCAGATCATCTTTCCTCCAACGCAGAAACAAATTCACTTCCAAGAGAAGCAAGGTGAACGCTTCCAAGATGCAGAAGGAATGGGACGAGTTCTTGCATTTTGGAGCTTTCGTCGTGGTTGACGGTCCTGAAAAGGAAGCATTGCTTCAACAGGGACATGTCGTGTTACCCAGTAAGTAGGTTGATGTAGACAAGAACGAATTCATGAAGAGTTCGCCAGATTATCAAGCTAAGTAGAAGAGCAGAGTGGTGTCGTGTGCCAATGTTGAGCAGACTGAAGGAGTCCACAGGTGAGAGTGATCTTCATATGATCATCACCGCGTGGGCATCAGTTCTAGGAAGCAAATTGAAATCCGCAGACGTCAGCAATGCGTACTTTCAGTCAGGGCCTCTCGACCGTGTTCTTTTTTGAGTCAACCCCGTGGTGGTTTACCCAACGTGAACGCTGATGACGGACAGTGGACGAAGTTTCTGGTTGAAGCTTGTGTCGGACGCCAAAAGGCAGGACTGACCGCGGGCAGATTTTTTCTTTTACAAATTGGATGATTCCAGATGTTGCGTTGCCATGTTGACCACTCACGTGGATGACTTGCTCTACAGCCACTTTCCGGAGGCGAAGGAGATCATGGACGCTCTTTTGGGTGGTTTGGAAGAGAGCAACGTCAGGTACGGAAAGGCTTTTGGAGAAGAAGACGGCGTCCCGACGATTCTTGTCAAGGACCATGCAAGAGCCATTCGCCGCATTCAGATCGATAGTGGTAGGAAACTGGACGATGAATTGAAACCAGATGACATCACCAAGCTTCGATCAGCGGTATAGGCTCGCTGGGTTATAGGTTGCCAGGCAAAGCCGCCCAGATTCGGCCTATCGTGTGAGCTATGTGCAGGCAGGCATCAATGGAGCCGCCGCTGGACTCCTGCATGAATGCTCAAGGTGGTTGGTTTGGCCCACCGACATTTCGAAGATGCGGTATTCAGGTTTCCCCGAAACCTCTTGAAGACCACCGACTGGAGAAACGTCGGCATTATCACTGATCACGGTGACAGACGCATCTTTCTGCAATGAGCCACGTTTCAAGTCACAGCAGGTTAGGACACATCTCTTGGCCAATGTGAACCAGATGAAGGATGAAAGCGCTTATACATCTACCATGTGTTGCCGCT